TTTCCATATCGTGGGTACTCAGTAAAAATATTTTTCAACAACTTAAGGATCATGAGTCCTTACATATTCCTGTTAGCTTTACACACAATCATCAATTTGCTCTAAAAGAAACAGTTGAAACAGAGGGCTTTTAAATTATTATGAATACTCTGCTTACTTCAAGAAAGCATTGAGGGGATGAATAGGGAACATAACATTCACTATAAAGTACTCAGCTGGTTTCCACCTTTAGCAATAAGTCCTTGAATGAATTCAATTTTGGCTTGAGTACAGCAAATTCCAAACATGCAAAACGTGTGCAAGCACAGCTCCTCTGCCTTCCCTCTCTTACTCTGCACTAGCATCACTGTCTTAGGCAAGGACGAGAGGAATTATTTCATCTCAGCAGTGCTTCCCTGCTGGCTCAGGCGATAAAGAATCCACCTGCAACGCAAGAACCCTAGGTTTCATCCCTGGATTGGGAAGATCTCCTGGAGAAGGGAATGGCTACCCACTCCGGTATTCTTGCCTGGAGAATTCCATGGACAGAGGAGCCTGGTGGGCTACAGTCCACGGGTTTGCTAAGAGTCAGACATGACTGAACATCTAACACATATACAGTGCTACTTAACTTTTATGGTCTATTTCCCTACCACTCTTCCCCTCCCTATCTCACTCATTTGTCCATCCATCCTTTCATTCATTGTTATATCCCATGTATCACTAGTGCTTGTTTTAACAGTAGAAAAGAGGAGATGAAAGACAGCAATAGATTCTTTCTTTTTACTTAATTTATGTTATTTAGAAATCACATGTAGGCATTCAAGATGACTGCTTTAGAGTTAATATAACCCATTGCAAAAAGAAAGAAAGTGAAGTCGCTCAGTTGTGTCTGACTCTTTGCAGCCCCATGGACTGTAGCCCACCAGACTCCTCCGTCCATGGAATTTTCCAGGCAAGAGTACCGGAGTAGGTTGCCATTTCCTTGTCCAGGGGATCTTCCTGACCCAGGGATTGAACCCAGTCTCCCGCAATGCAGGCAGATATTTTACCATCTGAGCTACCAGGAAGCAGGGTTTTAACTAATAGTCTGATGGTGAAGCATTCTTTAACTGGAAAGTTCTATTGCTTTCTTTTCCTTTTAAAGTCTTTGCCTTTTTTCTTGAATGAAGTTCATTATTGGGTATAATTGTCATTTATCCCTGTGTTATAATGGCATTGATCCAACCATCAGTGAAAAAGGGAAGGGATAATCCTCTAAGAAATCCCACAGGACATCAACTGTTACTTTTCTGCCAAACTGTGGTCCCTTGAAAAGCCATCTCAGGTGGCAGAAACAGTAGGTGTTGGCTTATGCTTGAGGCTTATATCTGAGGCTGGTTCCAAACCATAGATGTAACAGCAGGAGAACTGGGAGTCTCCTGAAGAAGGTAGCTGGCCAGATGGGCTCAGGCTCCAGCCTGGCTCTTATCTGTTCTGATAAGCCAGGACCCACCTTGCAACCACAACAGAAGTGTCTTGGCTCCCATAGGATACTCTGACAAGCTTGTGATCAAACTTTTTCCTCCTGGCTTGAGACTTGGACATATCTATATATCATATATCCTGCGTTTTCAGTGAACCATGGACAAACGATGATCCTGAAGTAGAAAGCATGGCTGGGGCAAGAAGGACAGGTAGAAAGGATGTTCCTTTATACCTTGACATCTTCCAAGAGGGCTGTTTGGATGAAATGCTTCACTTCTTGGCTTATCATCTTCTTACCCTATGTCGTCATTTGCTTGGCTGAGCACTTCTCTCTTGCACCCTCCCTTAGCTCGTATAATTCGCAATTTGAATGATCTTGAGACTTTTTGCTTTATTATCTATGAAGATACTAACCCTACTGCTTAAATCAAGGAAACTGAAGGACAAATTCTCTAAGACTCAAATTCTGTGATTCTACCTGGCGTTTCTTTACCCTCAAGAAAACTGAGTGCTTTTGTTCTCATTCGCTCCCATCTTTTCCTTTTGGAATTCTTAGTCCATGTTGATTTTGTGCTGCTTTCTCCTGGCCAGAAAGAGGGTGTGGCTTAGAAACCAAGCCATTTTCAGCCATCTCAGCCATCCTTCAGCCATTTATAGATCTCAGTATCCTTATCTTTAAAATGAAGGGATTGAAGCAAATAATTAGAGTCCTTTTGCAGCCCTAACATAACACGGTCCTGGTATTTCATGGAACATAAACTCATAGGATTTCAGGTCTAAATATCTAGTTGGGGGTGTGTGAGGGGGGAGGGGGTGCATAAGAGAGAGACATTATAGGTGATAGAATCATAGGGCAGTAGTGGGACATCAGGAGTCTTTGGTTTGGGGCTGACTTGTGTCCCCCCCCACCCCCGCCCCAAATTCACAAGTTGAAGTCCTAACCCCTAGTACTTCAGAATGTTACTGTATTTGGAGATGGGGTCTTTACACAGATAACTTAAGTGAAAATAAGATCATGATGATCATTTTAATCCGATGTAACTAGTGTCCTTATAAGAAGAGGAAATCTGGGCACAGAGATTTGTACAGAGGGAAGATGATGTGAAAACAGGGAAAAGAAGGCCAGTTCCAAGTGGAAGAAAGAGACCTGAAACAGATCCTTCACTCGCAGCTCCCAGAAGGAACTGATCCTGCCAATGCTCTGACTTTGTACTTCCAGCCTCCAGGAATGTGTGAAAACGAATTTCTGTTGTGTAAGCCACCTAGTCTGTGGTGTGGTACCTTATTCTGGCAGCCCCAGAACATTAATGCATCTTTCATATCTGATTCCAAAGTGCACACACAAAAAGTTCAGTGACCTCCTTTCATAGGTAAGCTCTCAGGCCTCACAGGCCTTTAGGCAAATACTGGGTGCCCTTTGGCCCGAGCTTGACTAAGAAATGCGGCCTCCAGTCACACTGTAGGGAAGGAAATCTGGGGATGTTTATGACACAATTCAATTTTGCTGAAAATTGGGGTTAACATTTAACTCTGGACATTTATTGACGTGGAAATTCCTGTAAAATTCACACAAAAAATTAAAATGCATATAAAAACCTTGATTTTTATTTTAATGCTTGTTTTTCTGTGGGGAAGGGAATATTGCTTTATTTCCCTCTTTTGTAATTTTTGTTCATGTTTTCATTCTTGCCACTGTCTTTGTTTGGATTTTCGCAGGCATTATATGTTACTTTTCCATTTCTCCATGTTTATCAGCCACTTCCTACAACAGGTGTCTTCTCTTCCTTCTGTCCCATGCATTCTCTAGCTCCAGCTGGCCTACTTTTCTTCATTTCCTTTACAGCATCTCCCACTTTTCTCTCTTGCCGTCTGCTTCTCTCTCATGCTCCTCATCTCTGTCCTAGTCTTTCTTTCCTCCATGTTCCTTTCTTGCCTGTGTTCAGTTCCTAGCTCCAGTCTCTCTCCTCTGCTCTTTCATCTTCCCTTTCATCTGCTGACTTGCTTTCGTCCCCTCCTTCTGTTCCCCTCCTGGGTGTTTCTTTGGCCCACCTTTCCTTCTCCTCTGAGACTTCATTTTCTTGTTGGTAGATGGGGGCTGATACTGTAAACATCACAAAAATAATTGCATTGAGAACAGGTGGTCCCCGTGGTGTCCCAGAAGACAGAGCCTTTGAATGCCTTGGCTCCATAGATGCAGAAGACAGCACTGGTGTGGAGAGGTGTCTGGACCTCAGTCACTATTAAACCTGCCATTCCAGAACTTAGGCACTCATCTCTGACACCACCCACCCCCTCCCAAAGTAGAAATTGAAAGGCATGGGGTCACCTGGAGTGAGAAAGATTTAACCTGCCTCTGCTCACCTTGAGCACACTTCCCAGTCACATTCGCCTGAAAGGTATGTGGGGCTTGCTCCCTGACACATCGACGGGCTCCTGTGTTCTCTCTGAATCAGACTGTGCCCAGTCCCTTCCATCACTCAGGGTGGCTCCCTGGGGTCACATCTCTGCTGAGGCCCCTGTTCCAGCCTCAGCTGCAAATGAGGACCAGGAAGCCGCAAGGGTGCCATTATGAACTTCTTGATCTCCTATCACCTGCCCTCTGCATGATGCTAGTTTTGACTCCAAAGATTAAAACCACTAGTTGGTTTTTTTCAAAAGAGTCCCCAGGGAAATCTGAGAGCATTTAACTTTTCTTACTCATTCTTCCTCATTTTCTTCACCTCTTTAGTTCTCATTTTTTCTACTTCGTGACGAAAATGTAAGCACTTACATACATTTGTTCACCCATTCATTCACTCACTCAACAAAGGTTTATCAAGTGATCAATGTGCATCAGATGATTTACATATTTTTGATGGCATAGACAGTACCTCTAAGGCTTGTTTAAAGTCTTGCTCTTAGTAACAGACACCTGCAGATTTTGATCATTAGAATTTTCTTGCTGTTCTTAGAGCTAAACTGAAATTTCTATTTTTTTTCTTTGTGTTTGCTACTAAATGTGAATTTCTATTAGTTCCACTTTTAGAGTGTTATTTTTCTTTGCATGTTTACAGAATACCAGGACTTGAAAGGTCACATTATTACTTGAAAGGTCATAATTGTTCATACAGTTATGACAGAACTTAAAAGTTGTCTGACACTTACTTCGTGCAGGAGTGTGGAAAGCATTGCATGTACATTAATGACCTGATGAGGTAACTGGTACTGCCATCCCATCTTTACTGATGGTTTCATCAGCAAAGGCTTGGGAGGCTACATTATTTGGCCACCGGTTCTCAGCTGGTGATTGGCAAAGCTAGGATGTCAGTTTTGTCTGATGCCAAAGCCCAGGTTTAGTCACTCTTCTCCACCATCTTCTGGTGATCAGATGGGCCACAGCAGTGGAAGGGAGAATTTACCGTGGGGAGTGATGGAATTTACAATGGAGCTCTTTTGACCCTATGAGCCAGAAGTCTATGAGGGTGTGAATTACTGTTCGGCTGCTACAGGCTCAGCCGCATCACTCCGCTCTGGCGAAGCTGGCCGACCCTCCCCGCCACCCCCGGCGGGCTTACCTTCTGAGCCTTGGGCATGTCGGTGTGGCGCTGGGCACGGACGGAGCGGGCCGCCTTGGCGGGCTTGAGAGGCGCGCAGTACATCTCCAGCCTCCTCAGATCACAGCTCCGGAAGCAGCACTCATCCACGATTCCTGTCTGGGGCGCCCGCCGACTGCTCGACCCGTATCCCGTGGGCTTGTCTGTTCAGATCAAACACAGAGGGCGTAGCCTTAGAGCGGGGTGACGCGCCGCGCTCACCGCGACACCCAGCCTCCGAACACTCCTCTCCCACACCTGTTTAAGTTAGTCTTCTTCTGAAGCTCCTCCAACAACTCCTGACCCTCCCAGATTGTTCCAGATTCCAGTATGTCTCCAGCAGTCAGTGCCACGCTCATTGGAAACAGCTCATTCGTCATTCATTTATTTGTAATAATTGCCCTCAAATTCTTAGCCACCTGTAGTCAAGGATCTCGTCTATGCCCAAGCCTCACCTCTCCTTATATATTGGCTTAATTGGGAGGCTGCTGAGAGTATTAATTAAAAGATCATGTTTTCCTTTTTTTTAATCTTTTTAGCAAATCTGCGTGGTTTTCGTGCACAGGATGGCTCCAATGTTTGTTCTTTGTCTATCTGTTTCCATTATAACATTCCACTGAAAATCAAAGAGGTTTTAAGTCTGGGAAGGTCTCATCACTTAACTGATGTGGAAACCTAGACTCAGGGTTGGGAATGACATACTCAAATGACAAGTCATTCAAGTTTCCTGGGCCCCAGTTTACCCGTTTATAAAGGAGAGTTAATATGTCCTTTCTAATCATCGCTTGAGGATTACATGGCATACTGTATGAAAAGTACTAAGTGCATCACTTGACACCTAGTGGATCCTAAATATACGTTAGCTTGCTTTGAGCATCACTTTCTAGGATCATATAGGGTCTGTGAAGAGACAGCATTGCTACTGACTGCATCCAGAAGCTTTACAACTTGAACTGATAATAATACCAGTGTGATAGGACTTCTCCTATCACCTTAGAGGGACCAGAACCATCAGCTCTGTTTTCTTGTAGAATGATCACTAGACTAAGAATGAACTAAATGTCCACCTCTCATTTGATTTTGATTGCCCAGAGGGAACACCATGAATCAAATTTCTTTTGATATTTGCAAATCAATTAGGCCTCTTTACTTGGCAAGTAGGTTTTAGTTTCATTCTATTTTGTTTTGTTTTGACTTGGACACACTTTCCCTGGCTCTAGAATTAAAAAGAGGGCAAAACAAGTTTATATGAAACTAAATTAAAAACGTACTTGAATTCTTTGTAAACTTTTTGTCATAGTAGGACTTTTGTTACACCAAATCTTATTTATACATCAGTATAGAAAAGAGACAAAAGTGAACCTGCCATGGCTTATGCAAGAAAGCTATGGATCTTGACTTTCTCTGCCTCATTTTCCTCCCTTGGGAGGTGGAGGGCCTCAGTCTTCTTCACTGATGTCCAGGCTTCATGGAAGAAAATCTGTGAACCATTGACCCAGAAGGATCCAAATGTGATGTATGTCCAATCTCAATTCCTGACACAGAAGACAGCGTTATATTTTAAACAAAATTCTTACATCCATGTAATGATGCTGTACTTCAGGATGGAGTTTTGAGAGTCAAAATCCCCATATATATTTTGAACTCCCTAGTTGAAGGCGATCAGACCCACGGTCATGGCCTGCTACCAAACTAGTTTGGCCGCCTTGCAGCCCGAGGGGCCAGCCATTCGTGGAATCTTCTGAGAACCCAAATGTGTTCCTGATGCTTGGCACTAGATCACGAGGATCCCTCCTCCCTTTAAGGCAGGTTTATTGTCATTCTTAGGGCAGCTGGGGATAGAAACTCAGCGAGGGTTCCATTGTGGTCTCTCTGGGTGGGGTGTGCTGCTTTTGCTCAAGGCAAACCCCGTGGGCCCCTCATGGCTGAGGGGTTTGGAAGGGACCGGCAGCTGTGCCCAGCTGGAACCTCACTGGTGCTTTCACTTGCCATCAGAGGCTCGCCCAGCGCAGAAGACTCTCTGCCTCTGCTCACCAGCCGGGGCAAGCCAGGACTGATCTGGTCCCTTGAGCAATGTAAACAATGCTTTTTTGCTGTTGTTCTTTTGTTTGTTTGTTTATATAACGTTTTCCTGTAACTATAAATTAAGGACAAAAATGTGCTTACATGGTTCTTTGTGATCCCCAAAGGACTTCTACATACGTTTAGCTCAGTGGCCATTTCAAGAGGCTGAAGCAGTCGGCCAGTGGAAAGTAGCTGATACACATTGGTTTTCTCTTGGGGAGGGAGAGAGGGGAAGGTGACTCAGTCTACTTTGAGATAACTGTCCCCATCATCCACCACAGGTAATAATTACTTTCTGCTGAAACAATACATTTCTTAATGGGATGTAACTGAGGTTCACTTGTTGAGTTTGGAAGGGTAATTTGAGGTTTAGAGGTAAAGTGGCAGGAGTGGTTTCAGAAACCTTCAAACTTGGCTAATTTATAAATGACTAATTTCAAAATTCATCCTTATGGGTTGAAGATGGGGAAGGATAATCTCTGTGATCCTAGGACCTACTTAGCACCTCTGTTTTAAGTATCCCTTCTGTTTCCTCCTGACTCTTCATAGGTTCTGGAGCTCCTTGCGTGCCACTGGAGGAAGACTCTAACCTTCATCTGAGAATAACATTAAACGTTGTGTATAGTGTATATTCCCTTCTTTGTGACTGTCGACAGGCATGAAACTCACCACAGGTCTATTTCCTCTTGTGAGACAGAAGGTAATCATCAGCACAGCAAAAAATAATAGCACACACCAGGCATCTGGTTTGTCACCTCTTAGATGAGCTCAGAGTTTGACATGGCCCAGTCTATAACATAGCTGTGCTTTTTAGTCCATAGATCAGTGAATTTAGGAACAGAGAAATTTAGGACTCTTCTGTAATGCTCTAAAAAGAAAGTTTACCTTATGTCTATATCTGTTTTTTAATATTGTTGAAATATTACAGACTTGGATTTTGCCATAAATGTAACTACCAGTTATCTCTAACCACTGCAGTCCTAGAAAGATGCTTTGTCTATTCATAATGTCTACAATGGACTAATTGTACTTCATTGAAAATATATGAATATAACAAGTGTTTACCTTGCCTTTTAAAGTTTAATTGATCCTTTGAAGTATCTTATAGACTTGATTTCTTGTTCTACATCAAGATATTTAATAACAACAACAAAAAATTTCTCACCAATTGAGAGGCCAGAGTTAGAGGATCAAAGTTTTTCTCTTTATCTTCAAATGCCTCATATTTCTTATTTGTCCAGAACCAAAGTAAAGATACTTGTTGCTATGGGCTAGAACTAGAAGCCTGATGCAATGTGGTTTTCCAGGAAAGCAGTAAAATTATTTGCAACAATATCAGTTTTGAGAAAAGTAGAGATTTTTAATGATCTCAGAATTGCACCTATTGTCAGTATGGGCAATTTTTAAATGAGATGGAATGAACTGTTTTAAAGGAATTCTTATCTTTAAAAACTCCTCATAAGCACTTGTTATCAATAATTGTGCTCCAGTGGGCAAAATTGTTAGGTGAACAGGAAACAAATGTTGTATTAATATACGAAAAAAATGTTTAACAATTTGAACTCAAAAGTGTTAAAAAATGGGACTGACTTCTTTTAAAGGTAATGAATGTCCCATTGTTGGAATCAGTGATGTAAAGGCCGTATGAATAGCTGTTAGAGATCCTAGGAGCATCTTCCTATATTGAACAGTGTCTGACTGCTATATTCCAAACATTCTGCAATATATAAAGAAATGGAGAAAACTCATCGAGGCCAATTAAACATTCAGTATGATTGGAAGCCACTTACATTGTCTTCAAGAAGGAGGTCCAAATATTTTCTAAGTTAGAAGGTTAAAATTTGTTTTCTATTTGTCACTTGAGTTCCTGAAGATGCTCAAACCATTTTTCTGTACTCAATACTATAACAAAAAACAGGTGACTGGGATAATAAATATTTTCTACAACTAAGTATACTCCCAGAGTCCTGTTATGTCAACATTTTTATGAAGGATCCATATACTTCCTCAACTGTTAGAGTGAACAAGTATGTAAAGAATTTCACAGAATTTTCCTTGCTGATGAAGTACTGACTTTGGAAATCTATGTATTTATTTTTCAGTAGATTTGCTCCAGAGCATGCAGACCAAAGGCTGCTTAGCAGACAAGTTGGCTACCACCTGACTAGGCCTGAGTCTTTTATAAGCTGACACAAAGTACCATCACAGTGCTCTCCTCTATCCTGAAAGTTGGCCAACAGACAGAATTCCAATGATTAAACAGCTGGCTTCTATAATTATAGCACTTCCTTTTAAATAATGCATGGTTAGTGGAGTAATTCAATAATCTTCAGGGCAAACTTGCTAGTTATAAGGCTTTGGGGCAGAATTGTGGCACCATCAAAACCATCCCAATTAGCTAAGTGTCACATTTTGTCATGGATGCAAGATGCTTCCCTCCATCTCCAAAGGAGAAGGGGTAATACTGAGATTAAACTGGGGTCATCACTTCTAGAACAAAGAACTCTGGTCATTCATCACTGGTAAAAGAAAAAACCAGTACTGCCTTTATTGGTGCTACATAAACTGGTGTTTCTTATAGCTTTCTGAGAATGTAGTTGGGACATTGTACTCAACTTTAATTTCCTTTAAAACTTCGCCTCTTGGTTATTGGGACAGCTTTCCTTTAATTATTTTAACTATGTCATTAGAAACAAGAGACATTGATTTGAAGAATCAGTATTTAAATGATGAAAAAAGCAAACATTCTCCAAATAGGGAAATATTCAATTCTGAAGACATACACTTGTTACTCTTTGAGTTCCAAGGGCTAAGACTGTTTGCTAGAAATTGCTAAAAGAGGGAAGTTGAAAAGTTGATTGTGTTTTGAAAACAGGAAAAAAGTAAGACAGTTCACATACAGAGTTAAGCAAATCAGAAAATCAAATATTGTATATTAATGCATATATGTGGAATTTGAAAAAAAATTGGCATAGATGATCTTATTTACAAGGCAGAAATAGAGACATAGACATAGAGGACAAACCTATGTATACCAAGGGAGAAAGTGGGGGTGGGATGAATTAGGGGATTGGAGTTAAGATATATACATGATCGGTAC